CTGACTCACTAGTAATCAAAATGATTTTAATACTGATATCTGTCATCTGCAGGTGACTTTTTACAACAAAGGCATTATACTTTAGAACCCAGGGGAACCGCTTTAATTTACTTCTTAAGATATACAGTATATTATGCAGATGCGAAAGCGCTTTCCTGCCCATATATTATCATTTGAAAATCAGTTCACGCAAACCAGGAAGAGCTACGAACATAGTTTCATTCCGCATCAGTTTGCGGGTGCCCTTCTCCTAACCACAATCAGATAAGCAAACTTTCCTTCTTTCATTTATCATGTGCAGCATCATCCCTGAATGTCACTGTAGCATGCACGTACGAGCACACTTAACGTGTGTTGTGTACACTGCAGTATGTCTGTCATGTCGTTCAACAAGGGGCGACCATATTGCTTTAGTGTTTACTTAAACAAGGAAAATACAACATATCAAGTGTGAAATGCCGAAGTTTCGAAGCTTGCGCTTGTCGCGTATTTGTGTGCACGAATATGTATCCACGTGTGTTTGTGTTAGTGTCCGTGAACGTTTATGCATGTCTTACGTGTGCAGTCATGGGAATCTGGTATAATGTGAGGAAGAAATCTATAGAGCTTATTAACCGAGTGTATTTTCATATCATTAATATCATATGTTAGGAATAAAAATTGAATAATGCGAGCCGTGGCGAGCATAATACGTATTTATTATTCCTAATCTATGATATTAATGGTACGGAAACAAACGAGGTTAATAATCTCTGTAACATATAGTGTCATTCCTAAAAGTACTCTAAAAAGGTCCATCTAAGGTCTATGCAGGTAGCAAAGGTAGTGTAGGTCCCCATGGTCCCTAGTATGGTGATCTACCTTCAGTTGTTGGCGATCTCTAGCAACTTTTGTACATTGCATTGTCTTTCAAAGTTAGGTTATTTTAGATTAGATTTTCATACTAGTTTTAAAATTATATCTGTACTATTCTAATTATTTTTACTGTCCTTCGCCGACAGGTTTTTTATAATGATGTATTATGACATTATAATTTGTTAATAGTCACGATATTGCTGAAATATTGCCGAAGTGACTTAAAATATTAACTCACTCACTCACTCACTCCAAAAAAATAAGCAATGAATTTATATATGAAGAGAATCGAGCAATCGCGTAAGAATACTTAGCGGTACACCAAGGTGAAGGTCGTTCATGACGGCCGCATATGGTTGTGAATAGTCGCTAATACAGTGCAAACATAACTCACGCCTAAAATAAGAACTTTCTGTCTAAAAACAAACAACAACTTGGTAGTGTTTCTATTTTCATTGCAGGTAATCACCTCATCAATATCAGTTTCTGATACCCGACGGAATCGATTCGTCGTCTTCTTTGTTGTGATCGATAGATCGAAATCCTTGGTTGGTACCTTTCTTAGACAAGAGTCGAGCCTGTCCCTCGTGCCTCAAAATCCATAGCTTCAATTTGAACGAGGTTCTCCGTTTCATGTTTTCCAAAGACAATCACTGCAGTAACGACTCCAGAACCTCTGTAATCAATTCTTACAGAATCACCAGTTTTGATAATGGGGGCAGCCGTGTTTATTTACAAACTCGTCCACGCAATGTTAACGTTTAAGGATTTGCATGGCATGTATGGAGTTTTGAGAAAGTAGTTCGTGGATTGACATAATTTCATAGTTATCAGATTTGGATACCAAGTTTATGAGATTGCTTTATTGCACTGATGAGAACACCCTCCATAAGATGATAAAATGAAATACTTGCAAAAGAACATTTATTGTTCTATTGAACGTTTATCCAATGTGCCAGGTGAGGCAGACGCGGCTATCCCATTTGCAGTAATAGGGTTTCGGAGAAAGAAGAGAATTTGATACCTCCTCGTCTGCACACAGTTACGTTTCTGCAGTACAGATTAAACATGCAATGTATGTCTACTGCGTTACAGGTGTAGAGCATGTGATACATGTATGTCCGGGTCCATACTCCTGTTGCTAATATGGTACATTGTGTCCAGTACGATACACGTGTGACTAGTATACTACAAGTGTGTCCAGAATGATATGCATCTCACCAGTATGACACACGTATGTCCAGAACGATACTCCTATTTCCAGTGTGATACACGCGTGCCCAGTAAAATATTAATATCGTCAGTATGAAATATGTTTGTCCAGTATAATACACGTATGTCCAGCACAATACTGTCCATTATGACATTCATGTCACCAGTATGATACACGTATGTCCAGTATTATACCGGCATGTCCAGTATGACATTCATGTCACCAGTATGATACACGTATGTCCAATACATTACTCTCCAGTATGACATTCATGTCACCAGTATGATACTCGTATGTCCAGTACGATACCCGCATCCAGTATGACAAACGTATGTCCATTATGGTACCCGTATGTCCAGTATGGTAAGCATATGTCCAGTATGGTACCCGTATGTCGAGTATGATACTCGTATGTCAAGTATGATACCCATATGTCAGTATGATACCCGCATGTGCAGAATAACACACGTTTATGTCCAGTATAATATTCATATCGCCAGTATAAAACATGCTTGTCCAGTATAGTACACGTATGTCCAGTATGATGCACGCATGTCCAGTACAATACTGTCCAGCATAACATCCATATCACCAGTATGATACCCGTATGTCAAGTATGATACACACGTGTCTAGTATGACATTCATGCCACAGTATGATACCCGTATGTCCAGTGTGATACTCGTGTGTCCAGTATGACACACTTATGTCCAGTACGATACTGTCCAGATACTTACATCCATGTCACCAGTATGACACTCGTATGTCCAGTAGGATACCGGTATGTCTAGTAATGATGGTGCCCAGTGTGACATTCATGTCACCAGCATGAAACACGTATGTCCAGTATGATACGCGTACGATAAATGTACATCGAGGGTGATACACGCGTGTTCCAATCTCAGGACCAGTACAATACACCTGTGGCTAATATGAATTACGTTTAGTAAGCATGAAAAGTATAATGGATACTCGTGTGGCCAGTTAAATACTACAAGTTGTTGTTATTTCCTCTGGAAGACTCGGGGTTGATGTTTGCTGTATAGCTATTGAGTGGTTTTAACACCAACCTCACTCCCCCCAGTATTGTTATGTCTGTTTGTTCCATTTGAAGTATTTGCTGATCAAAAAATGAAACAGTTTTGTTTGTATATGGTTTTATGTTTCACTATGTAATGACTAATATATAGGTTTTAGATCACGATATGGCTGAAATATTGGGGGGGCGGTGGGGTAGCCTAATGGTTAAAGCGTTCGCTCGTCACGCTGAAGACCCGGGTTCGATTCCCTACATGGGCACAATGTGTGAAGCCCATTTGTGGTGTCCCCCGCCGTGATATTGCTGGAATATTGCTAAAAGCGGCGTAAAACCATACTCACTCACTCACTCACTCACTGAAATATTGCCTTTCGTGACGTTACAATTTTCCCACTCACTAAATATTCAGAGTTTCCGGGTTAACACGGTACAAACAAGCGATCCGCTAACGTAAACGTGAAAGCGTGACAGCTTGGCCAAGCTGAGAGATGGCACAAACAGGAATAGGGGAAATGTCATGGTGTTGTTGTAGTCAGAATATGTTGCCTCTATGGTGTTAACAGCGGTAAATTTGTTATGATATCGCGAAGGTTCAAACACAGTCGGGTTTAGTGAAACAAACATTTCATAAAAAGTAGTAAACAAGAGTAGCAAGGAAACACTTTAATTAAAATCAATTTATGTTTTTACATTTCTATCATTGGACAGACCATTGCTACAAAAGTCACTTCAATCACTTCAAGTTCAACGGCTCTTAAGAAATCACTGAATAATATATATAACATATATAATATTTCTTTTTGCCAAAACTCCATTATATCAGCACAACATCTTTCGCCGTTCAACAGCTCTTCAGGTGTACAATGAAAGCTGAGTGTAGTCATAAGCGACACATAACGGTAATAGCTATGTCGTCATCATACGTAGGACGCTACAGTTAGGTATATATATTTACAGTTATTCTGCTCAGACAGTAATCGAATAACATGTTTTATTGTTCAGATGGCTCGTGAAAAACTTCTTCGAAAACTTTGTTGACTTATCTTGATCATGATATTCTCACATCTAAAATTCATCATTGTTATGACACGGATGAAATCAGATGTTATACTGCAGCCCTTTTTCAGACGAAGTTATTGGTCGGTGGATGTTGCCCAATCATGAACATTGACATTGTCGGTGTGGGTAGCGGAATGGACGCGCTGGCTTAGACGCCGAAGTGAGGTGTATTGATTGCTTATGTCCTCATAGCACGACAAGCCCGTGTATACGACTGTGTGCTTCTCTGCAAGATCAACTGTATATATTATGATATTTGTTTTGTATCCTCAGGGAAGTTACGTATTGCTCTGCGGGACCTTTCAAGCCTATCTTTGTGATCGAATGTTTGATTTATATAGACACGCGCGCGCGCACGCAAGCACACACGCGCGCACACACACACTCGCACACACACATACATACATACACAGGCATCCATTACGGCTTATTGTCTATGGTTGTTAATTCCGTTTTATAGAATAGTTTCTGAATTTTGTCGAGGAAGCTTTTCAGTTATGTCTGTGTAAATATATGGAAACCTTCTAATTCAATGGCTAGAATCGATTTTGTTTATAAAGGAACATATTTGGTGACACTATCGTACCATCCGTTTCTCTGTAGTGCGACAGGTTAGTATGGAAATCAGCAGCAACAAAGTAAGTTATGAGTTACATGATTGTCATCAAAATGGCAGCACTGATCCTAGTACAAGATCCAATGCTTCATGAAACTGGTTACATACTATATTTGGGATTACACTTTTACTGGTTGGTTGGGTGGGTTGGTTGGGGGTATCATGATTCCCATTCGGTATTCAAAGTCAGCACACCAGGTCAGCGATCTCACTTACTTTGCCACCGCATGTTTGATACCTGGTAACCTAGACCACCACGTTGTTTGTGTGCCCCTCTGTAATAGTAAACTAGCACTGCTCGCTCTCAAGGCCGAAGTTATGAATATATAATGTATTTTAGAAAGTGGTAAAATGCGTTATAGTTTGAATTCACTTTCCAAGTAAAAACACTGTGTATATAATGTATCATTGACCTCTACATACCAAACGGTCAAACCTGAAAACACGAGAAGGTTTACCTGATATTTCAGTCTTAGTTTCGCCCAAAGGGAAGCTCTCGTAGACCACATTGTCCGTCATAACTGGAATTTGAAAAGAGGAGTTATGATCATAAAACTCTTACACATGAGTTAAATGACCAATGTTGTTGTGATACTTTTACTAGTGCCACTAATGTGATCAAGTGACTCATTGGTTTACGTTCTACCGATTTGATGTAAGCAGACAGTTTAAGTACAGTTATATTAAGTATTGTTTTACTAAAACAAAATTATTAATTATTGGTAAAAAGTCATGAAATATTCTTTGGGGGAAAATAGTAACTTGTTCGTAAGTGTTTTGACTAAAACATATTTCTAGCAAAGCATTAACCTTTTATGGTAACTGTGAAATCAGTCGTTTCGTGAACTGGCTAAAATTTCCTGTCATTTCATGAATTGACTGATTTAGAGGTCTAGCCATTTCTCGAAATGACTGAAATGGTGTTGTGAAAATACAAGACTTAGTGCCTAATAGCAGACACGTATTTGATAACAAGTTTTACTGACATAATAATTCACGAAATTACATGTTACGCCACATAATGAATGGGACCATAACATGAACATCACTTAATAACTTAATCTACAAAAGTGGATCACAATTTCAACATCACTTATTTGAACAGTTAAAGCTATTGTGGCAGCGACTATTGCACTTCAGCTTGGCTTTGAGGCATTTACGCCTGTTATTTTTGTGACAAGGTTTTAACACAATGGCTAAAGGTAGGTGGTTTCAGGTTAAACATGATTACCGAAACACACCAAACATCATCTGACCGTCTCAAATTAGCTACACAAAAAGAGTAAGAAATAGGACTGGTTTTACATTTTGTATAGTGTAAGGTTTGGGCTAACAGTAGGAGGTGAAATAGACCAAGAGTATAAACAGGAAGCAGCTGAATCCTCAAGCACCAGCGCTCCTAGGTTCAAGATAAATATTTCCATGCGTGTTATAGCCTTACTTGCCCTCTCCACCACGTCTTCACTGTTCGTGGTGTTGGCAGCGCGCGGTACCACCTCAGAAGACATCGTGTATAGGAAATTGTCAACCATATCTGAAAGAACGAAATGTATGGATACGTGTTGGCCTGCAACGTTATAATGTATCAAATGAACAAACGTTCGATAATCGGAGTACACATCCTCCCCTCCCCCGATGCATTGATATGTCATTACACATATGACAACAACGGGTATCTTCAGACATGGTCGACATGCACGACATGCTCTGGTTATACTGCGGCCTTGGTATGTTACAGACAATCACTTGATACAAAACGGGCATATTTCTGACAAGTAGATGTATGTTTCTATATGAATAAAATCAGAGGTTCAACTCCAATCCAACTTTCACGTAGGTAAAAGACGATGGCAGATTCATTCTTCAAGTTCATTTGTTTCCAAGACTGAGTCTTATCCGATTGAGAAGATCAAAATATCGACCTTATTTTACCGAAATATTTGTTCGTTCATCGCAAATAACATGTGTCGAACACTGTAATAACGTGATATAAATAGTAATGTTTTAACATCTCACTGTCCAACCAATTCTTTAGCACTGAATCTAATAAGCATGTTTCGAACAAATTGCTAAGGTGCAGTTACCTTTCTAAGTTAAATTACCAAAATCTTCACATTCAGTTTGTCGTCACCTGAATCACACATGACAGTAATATATACATCAGGGATCCGGTTGTATCAAACTTTAATGAAGCATTAACGTACCATTAAACATTTATAACTAATGTATCATTAAATTTTGTTGTACTAACGTTTTAATGACGTCGTGTTGTCATTAACGCGTCATTAACATAATGAAGGTTCTGGGGTGTCATTAGAGCGTCATTAACTTCCTGGAAAAGTTATGGCTGAAATATTGCCGATGTGATTTAATAGCTTGACTCACTCACTCCTCCTGGAAAATTAACGTTGCGCCTGAATTTCGTTTGTGCATCACTGGATCTACCTTCAGCTATAAAATTACACAGAAATATAGAATATTAAATTGCCTATCCCATAGTGTAAACTCAAGCGCAAATACTTGGCCGTTTCAAAAATAGACACTGCTATATGTTATCCCGAATTTTGTTATGCCTTAAAAACAGTAAATTCCTCCGCTTTTTATCGTGCACTGATTAAAGTGCTGTGCTACTAAATCTTTAATTTGGCATCTTTACGGAAAGTGTGAACGAACAAAATACTGTCTGATACCTGAACGACATAAGTATATGTTAAATTGGTTTGTTTACTTATGTATAACGTTATCCACCCAAGCTCAAAAAATGATTCGCAATATGTGTTGAAAATGAATTTTCCTCTATGACGTCAAACGACGACATACTTATCAAGATAAGGGGGCATCACCCCGCTATGCTTAACACTAAATCATTGTAACTCAGATCACTTGGAGAGAATCTGCTGCGGATAAGGACACTAAAGTTTCGTGATGTTTTTTTCACGGTATTATCGAAAACAATGATAGTCAAAACATTTGTGGCAAACGCACACCTGGCCAATGATTATACGCCATTTCTTCTAGACACTTGGTTTTAGTGACAAAGATCATTTGTAATTTGATTCTAAAACGTATGAGGAATTCAGCGATGCATTTGTCACAACTGAATATGAAATATACGTGATGTAATTGGCGTCCTATCACCGGCCTTAGCGAAGCTCGATTTTGTAAACACTATCCAATATGGCGGAAAGCTCACTTCGGCGATCGTGTTCGTGTATTTTTCAGAACATTCCAACCGAATCTAGGTTTATCGGCGACATTTCAGAATTATTGAAATGTGTTTCTTCACAGCTGTCGAATTGTTTGGCTATTGTTATTGTATAGTATAGCCGTAAAGAGGCCATTTTGACAGACGACCGAGAGTAACGCTTACGTGTTTACGTCGGGGAATTGTGGGAAATATTTAGGGGAATCCCCGAATTTAATGAAAATGTTTACATAAGAACGTCAATAAAATAATGATACGGTAATTAGTGTTTGATACAACTGTGTTTAATGTTGCCATTAGCTAATGATGCATTAAGATTAGTTAATGAAGACATGGTACAACTGGATCCAGATTGTTAAAATAAACCCCCGAAAGATATAGTTATTCTTTGCAAATTCGACTTCAAAACTACAGTTATCAGTGTTTCAGATCAGGACCAGGCATGATTATGAAAAAGTAAAAAATTAATATCATTTGGTGACATATATTGAAGAACATAAAATGAGTTTTATTTATTTGTAACTGTAGCTTGACATTGTTGACACAAAATGATCTAGCCATGCATGTTTCATTGTCAAGGTGCAACATATGCAGCGCCTTCTTATCAGCAGCATAAGAAATACATGCACGTGTAGCGTACCTATTTGTTCACCTTCCGTGCGACTGCTTACTCTTTGAGGTGGAGCAATACCACTGAAAAGAAATTATTTTCTAAATGAATGGAATATTGAGTGTCATTCAACAGTTTGGAATATTTGTGTATGAGCGTATATACATAGTCGTATGTGTCATAAGTCTTTTCAATTTAGACCCGTGAAAATCCGGGTGAGAGTGAATCTCCAGTAACCCATGCTTGTCATAAGAGGCGACTAACGGGATCGGGAGGTTGACATGGTTGATACATGTCATCGTATCCCAGCTGCGTAGATCGATGCTCATGCACTTGGTCACTAGATTGTCTGGTCCTGACTCAATTATTTACAGAATATTGCTGCAAACTAAACTCACTCACTTTTTCAGTATACCTAGAAGATCTATACTTTATAGCTGATGGCAACAAAATGTTTTATTTGCTTTTTGATGATATCGATGTTGGACTTATTTGCAAATGAAACTTTATGGTTACCATGAAACACTAACTCTGTAACAGAGACGGAAACACATACTTCCGCCTCCCAGGTTGACATTCAAATGCAGGAGTGTCGTCACAGGAAGCTAAAAAGAAATATATTTCGTAATTAAGAAACTATACATTGGCAAATGTTACCTCCCTACTTAAGTGAAAATGCGTTAACATTCATCTAAACTGTTTCAAAGTAGGTTGTCTCTGCTTACACGTTCACCTTCATGACTCAGTTCTTTAATTCAGTACAACGTCTGCATATTTATACGTGCACAATAGTACAAACAATACCTTTATATATAACATGTGTTATTTAAGTTAATTATTGACTTTTCGTAACGTTAAGCCACACATTTTGCAAAATGTAACAACATATGCTTTCTCTCACAGGTCAAAAGAATCTACCCATACAATAATATCATGGTATACATTTTACAATATTAACCTTTAAAGGAAGTTCATCTGTAGTTTAAAGTTTTCTGTATTCACGAACGACAAACACACATAACTTCTTTGAGTGGCATTTTAGAAGCTGGGAAGTACAAAATTGACAAACTTTATGGATAACAACTTCTTTATTACGAGAGTGCGACGTTTCGATACAGATTCTTATACCGTTGTCAAGCAGGAATGTGACATACATTGGTGGCAAAGTATATATACTGAGTGTAACAAAGAAAACAAGATAGCAAGGTAATTAACACAACTGGGTGGGCTTAGACGTGATGAAGCCAGTGGGTAGACAATGGGGGAAGGCTTATAAGCCAGAGATGTACAAATGAAAAGGGGTAGTTTAAACAAGGTTTTAAACATACATAAATAACATTTAATAAAGATTTGCATCCAAGATATAACATATACACATCGCAGTCAACGTGTATATAAACATTTCTTTTTTCATTTAACGTCCTACCTTTTACTACATCTACCCTTTTTCTTCTGACACACACGACGACGACAACGATGACTACAGCGATGGCAATGACAGCACCGATTACAGAGCTGGCTATGGTGTAGGCTTCCGTTTGTACAGCTTGCAAATCTGAAAAGCAACAGAATAAAAAGTAAATATTGTCTGTTCACTAGTATTCATGGTTGATCATTTAGCATGACGTTCCGAAATGTTCTCATTTGTAAAAACATTCTCTTGACAAGATTTTGGACAGTGAATCTGTTAACTGAAACATTTTTTTCCATCTGTTCAATACCTACGAGTGACTTTGCATTAAGACTTGGTAGATAAATCGACTTTGTGACCATCTTACCGCTTTTCACTGCAGGTATAGCTGTAGTGTGTTGTGGTATATGACTAAATGTAGTGTTGTCATCAACAACAAGACGTTTTCCTGCCGAATTGTTGTTGCTGGTTGTATGAGGCATCGTAGTGGCATGCGCATCGCCTGTAGCGTATTCTGTCAAATGGAATCATATCAAAGTGAAAGGTAAGCTTGATTGAGTAACGACGAATATTTGATCGAGTTGCATAGGCAAAATATATTAATCAGTATTCAAATAATGTGTGAATTTTTGGTATGTTTTCTTTTATTCGATCTACCTTACCAATATGGAAGTCTCTAAAATGTTAGGTAAACAGACTAATTTATCATAAAACTCAATTTTGGAGACACAATTATGAACTGATGTTCACATTTTGCTACATTCAATATGTGTTATGTATTGCACATGAACAGTGTGAAATACAACAAAAAATCATTTCCACATTGCATCTTTTATACTATCTGGTGTTATTGCAACAGTCACTGAACGTACTTTGCGAATGCTTCGTCCATATGGTTGTGGTCGAATAAGATGTAGATGTCACGACATTTGGTGAAACAATTTCCTCAGGGTGAGTGACAACATCTGAAACGATGCATTGGTGAAGCTATGACATTGTGGTCAACATTTATTTGGTTGTCATTTCTATGTGTTAACTAATTTATTTGAATAATATTTTTATAAGACAAGGTCGTTGGCTAATATTCCTTTTGAACCCGTAAAAGCTAAAATAAACACCCATACATCCTCAACATATTTCCCTGCGCGATATTTCAAATGTTAGTTAACAATACGTTGTTCTTGAATGATATTAATATAAAGCCGGTTTCAAAGTTGTTGAATGCATTTTCCAATGCATTATAATGTTTTCCATAGTATAATTTGAAAGTGGTAGATACATAGCAAAATCGGATTTGCGGGAGAAAAGAAGCAGGGCATACAACAAGGTGACATGTCGAAATGGTTACTAAAATATTGAGTGAATCAACCTGTTTGGAGGGTTAAACATTTAACATAAATACGATCGGCGAGAATATTCTGCATAGCACAATCATACATGTACTTAGTTATCAAAATGACATGTGCAACTACGGTTGCTTTGATGTATGTATGTATGTACGTATGTATGTATGTATGTATGTATGTATGTATGTATGTATGTGTGTGTGTGTGTGTGTGTGTATGTATGTATGTATGTATGTATGTATGTATGTATGTATGTATGTATGTATGTTTGTATGTATGTATGTATGTATGTATGTATGTACGTACGTACGTACGTGTGTATGTGTGTGTGTGTGTGTATGTATGTATGTATGTATGTATGTATGTATGTATGTATGTATGTATGTATGTATGTATGTATGTATGTATGTATGTATGTATGTATGTATGTATGTATGTATGTATGTATGTATGTATGTATGTATGTATGTATGTATGTATGTATGTATGTATCTTAAAGCCAGCCATCTGTATGTCCCAACTCACTGATGGTAAGAGTGTTGCTCATTACGTGAGCATCTGAACACTTCCATACAGATCCATTGTACTGAGTGGTAGTTATGTTGATGGTTACATTGTGTTGGAAGGCATCACAGTTCACATAATCAACTCCTGGCACGGTGGCGAGGTAGTCAGCAGCTACGTTGTGGGTTGTATTGAAGATAATGTTTTCGTCCTTAAACCAGAATAATATACTGATGTTTCTTGTGCTCGTAGAACTCAGGGTGAAAAGATCCCCCCTTGTTGCTAATGACGGGACACTTGTCAGCTTCAGAGTATCTGGAATATATGGAAAGTTATATAATGGACATGGATGTTTGAGATGGATGTGGTCCAATAGTTGGGTACCAGATGTTTGCACAAATAGATTTATTGACACACAGCCTATTCAAAGTACATCAAGTTTTGATGTGACCATCGTGTCCCTTTAAAGAGACTTGAGTAAACAGAGATGCGTCAATATGACTATCTTGTGATTTTCGACTTCATTTGGAAATCATTTCTATCTGCTCTTTGTTTATGAGGACCAGACACTATTCAACACAGCAGTGATCACCTTTTCTGCATCAGTAGCGACACAAAATGAATCATGTGTTGCAACATGAAATCACTGAAACAAGAAATACAAGACGCGGGTTTTAAATAATTCTTGTATCACTCTAGATCCATGTATAAACATGAAGCTGTTACATTCTTTTGTTTTTGTGACATTTTTCTGCAATTGCTGGTCTCATATATTTCATAGCATCGGCAAACCACGGGTACACTACTGAATAAATAACATCAAGGTATACGCCCGTCGACACAACGTGTGTGTCCCTTTAGAGGATGATAATGCCAATATTGTCTAGACATTAGAGATACTCGATGTCCCTAGACTTCTAGATGATTAAATGCCGCATGTAAGATCAGAAAACCTACTAAATACTTGATTCCATATGTGTCACTATACATTGCACTTTTTATCTGAGAGGCTGCACATGCAATTTGAAACAAATACTCACATTTTTCAGTTTTATGCTGTGTCGTTGCAGCTGCCATTATGCACGACACGTACACAATGAGGACAAAATGACCCAACATTGTCACAGCTATACACCATGTGTTGTGTTGGGAATTTGTAATCGTCACATAACTCGTGCACGTTATCAGGTAGTTTATCACCTCGAGGATGTTTAACAGAATGGGGACTTCATTCGTCGTTGATATGCAAAGCTCAACCGTTGTGTACTTTAAATTTAATACAAAGCGATTTAACGTCAAAATCGTCTGGGCTTGTCCGGTAACTGTCAAGGAGCATTATATATACGAGGTAATAAAATTAATAAGCGACAGTCGCGATCAAAGAATATTACCCTGTGTGTTATGTACCGAGGGCTGTATTGCACACACCGACAGAGTAAATACACAACTGTCGCGTATTGACATACGTTGATCTAGTTCGAAAGGAGGAAGTCCACTGTAGCCACGAGTGAAGTCTAAACACGCTTTGACTAACAGATAAGTAGAAAAGTTGGGTAAGTAATTTTGATATGAAAAGCAAAATGAACAACATTTGAACGTTATTGTCTATTCATTTGTGGTCTAAAGTTGTACTTCCGTTTCTATTAAGAAAAGGACAGAAAATGTCAATTATAACTACAGCCCTACTGACTGACTGACTGAGTTTAGTTTTACGCCGTTTTTAGCAATATTTCAGCAACATCACGGCGGGGGACACCATAAATGGGCTTCACACATTGTACCCATGTGGGGATTCGAACCCGGGTCTTCGGCGTGACGAGCCAACGCTTTAAC